TATTGCTCAGTACCAAAAAGAAACGAGTTATTAAGCCATAGGGTGTGTTAGTTTCTTGTGACCAAACACTGACACGAACAGAGTAAAGGAGGAAGGATACATACAGCTCAAAATATCAGAGGTTTCAGTTCATATGTGGGAAGGATGAGGTGGAGCAGAGCCACTCACAAGGTGGCTTCCAGAAGTGGAGGAGAGAATGCCTACACTAGGGCCTTTCTCCTCCCCCTTTCATTCCGCCAGGGTTCCCAGTCTGAGGGCAATGTCACCCACTTTCAGAGCGGCTCTTCCTCTTTGAATTATCCTCTCTAGGAATGTGCCTACTGACAAACTTACAGGTGTACTTCATTAATCTCCTAGGCCCTTCCCAATCCAATCAAGTTCAAGATCAAGATTAATCAAATTGAAAAGGATAAATACTCTATTATTCCAACTATTGGACATCCTGGAAAAGGCAAAACTAAGGACACGATAAAACAATTTGTAGTTCCCAGGAGTTTGGGAGGAGGGAGAGATAAGAGACAGGGCCCAGAGGACTTTTAAAACAGTGAAACTGGGGCTGGAGAGATGGCTCAGCGGTTAAGCGTACTGGCTGCTCTTGCAGAGGACCTGGGTTTGATTCCCAGCACCCACATGTTGGCTAGCAATAGTCTGTAACTCCAGCTTCAGGGGCTCCAATGCCCTCTTCTGACCTCTTTAGGCACTGCATGGCACAGGTGCACTTACATACATGCAGGCAATATACTCACGTACATAAGAAAAAAGAATAAATAAAATATTTTTAAAAAGAATAGATAATTCATGTCTTTTACAAAATTGTCTCTTATTCATGTAGACCTCACTCACTCTGATATTATCCTAATATCTACTCAAGATTAAATAGACCATGTTTTTTGCTAGGGAAAAACATATTTTTGAGACTTAAAGAGCTTTCTTAATTAAGCTTATCTTTGACAATTTGATAAATGTATATAATGCATTCTGTTCCACCACTCTCTTTTTTCTCTCCCAATCCTATTACCTGCTCCCTCCTAAGAAGACCCAGCTGGCCTGGAACACGATATGAAGACCAGGCTGACCTCAGTCTCATAGAGATCCACCTGCCTGTGCCTCCTGAGTGCTGAGATTAAAGGGATGGTCCTTCACGCCTGGCCTTTTATTTCTGTTTTAAGTGATGTTACACTAAAAAATGGAAAAAATTATTAAATAAGTTCTAAGGAAAAGCAGCCTCCTCTGACTCATAGCAGTTTTAATTTTTTTAGGCCAATCTCACCAAAAAAAAAGGACATGGCATGAATACAAATTTATTAAGCACCTGTTATGTGGTAGGCACTGTTCTAGACTCTGAGATGCATAAAGAATAACCAGTTTACATTGGATGGTCATAAAAGGCCTCTTCAGGGATGCAGCATTTAAGAAGCCCAAATGACAAGACTGAGCTAGATAAGAACACTACATTCCACTAATGCTCGGGTTTTATGTATTTAAAAAGATGAATAGAGGCAGAGTGGCTGGGTTATTGGAGTAAGGAAGAATGGGGGTTAGGTACATTGGGATGAATAGGCCTTGGAAAAAATATGAATTTTATTCTGAGTGGGATGAGAACTCTGAAAGATTTTAACTAAGGGAGAGACATAATATGATAAATTTTTAAAAACATTGCTCTGTTTGCCTGTGAAGTATGGACTGTTGAGGATTAGGAGAAGCTGGGAGGCCTGTCAGAAGGCAATAGTGCGGGGAAAAGAAGTTGAGAGACTGGAGTGGGATGGGTTACAGAGAGCAGATGCATTTCAAAGGTGGAAGCTACAGCACATATTGAGTTTAATGTGATGTGAAGAGTCTCAGGTTTGGGGCTTGATAACTGAATTGATGGTGGTGTAATTTATCAAGATAGAGTACACTGATAAAGGCCATGTGATATGATCAAGGTGGGAAGCTGTAAATCACCTACTCTCTTTAGGTCGTTTTAATTTGAGATGTTTTAGAACTTCTTGGCTCAGTGGGTAAAGCACTTGCCATGTAATTATGAGGATCTGAGTTAAAATCCCCAGAATCCACATAATCCTGGGTGTTACAGTACATATCTCTAAATCTAGGGTTCCTATGGCAAGGTGGAAGGCAGAGACAGAAGAATCTTTAGAAGTTCATGGGCTGGTGGCAAACAATAAAGAGACCCTGTCTCAAATAAGGGGTGAGGACTAATACCCAAGGTTCTCTTCTGACCTTTACACGTGGGCCATGGTAGATATATACCCACACACACATATGAACACATATATACATACAATTGTACAGTACACACACACACACACACACACACACACACACACCAAAAAAGGACTAAAAAATAAAACCAGAGAAAACCCAGGTGTGGTGGTACTGTAACCCCAGTACTCTGGAGGTAGAGGAAGGAGAATCAAATTAGGAGTTCACAGTCATCTTCAGCTACAAAGTGAGCTTAAGACCAGCCTGGCTACATGATAGACCCCCCGTGTCAAAACAAAAACAACATATCCCCCAGCAACAATCTTCCCCCAAATACATAAAAACAAACAAACAAGCAAAAAAGCCTTATCAACATTCAGCATGAACATCAACACTAGCACCTCACTAGTCCTAGTTCAGTGAGGGTTGTTTCTTCATTTTATTTCTTTTTGGCATTTTGAGATTTATTACAGTGCATGTGGGCTGAGTGGATTTACCCATTACATTACTATTTCATTAAATCAACCTGACCAAAATGAAAGAATCTAAAAAAGATTTCTGGAAAGAAGTCATGAGTTGGAGATGATAGTGCAAGCATAAACAAAAAGGAAGATGACAGAAAAGACACTTAGAAATACAGTAAGAACATAATAGAAGCCAGCTCACTATGTACTGGGAATGGCATGCTCAAAACAGATTTGGAAATTCTTCCATTTTGTGATAAGGTACAAAAATGATGTATGTGTGCTATCCAGATTGGGGACTACGGGGAGCCAGGTGAGTCAGTCACCTCCAAAACAAATTTTAAAGAGGCATCAACATTTTGGTAGTGAAGACAATTTTAATGCAATATTTTAAAAAGTTGAATTAATTAAAAAGTCCAGAATGAGTCAGATGGCATGCACCTTTAATCCCAGCAGAGGCAAGTGGATCTCTGTGAAATTGAGGCCAGCCTAGTCTAAGTAGAGAGTTCCATGCCTTCTGGGCCTACAGGGAGAACCTGTCTCAAACAAACAAACAAACATAGAAACAAGCAAATTCCATGATGAATGAAGTCTCGAGTTTAAAGACTCCCCTCAAACTCATAATATATACACTTAAATTTGAAGACAGAAAATTTCAATCTATTTGGAATCTTTTGTAATATAGTAAATGAATTTTGAGCCTATTTTGTGTGTGTGTTTGGGTTTTTGTTTTGCTTTTGTGCTGTCTGTTTCATTGTTTGGGGAGGCGGTACTAGGGGTTGAACCCAAGCATCCTGCATGCTAGGAAAGTACCACTGAGCTTTGTCTTCAGCTCAAGCCTGTTAAAATATAAAAATATAGCATCTTCTGGCTCACATTAGGAAGGATGGAAAAATAGCAGCTGAATTTTAACAAACTTCTTTGTATGGTTGGAAGAAGGAACTGATAAAAGTGGGCAACTGTATTGCTAAGAGTAGTCAAAGATGTACTTCTTCCATTAGGATCAAAACCTTTGTGGGTTACCGTTTTCAGCTTAATGACAGCTATTAAAAACCCAGTACAGAAATAACCCGAACATTGAATCAGATATTTTAATTACTGCCTCATGAAGCATTAAGGATTTTTAGAACTAATGAAACCCAGTCAATCAAAGTGAGTTCACTAAATATTTTTAGTGGGGGTAATAGATTTTTATATCGTTAATATTTTAAAATCATTTATATGTTGATTTTCTCTTTTTACATTTTATAGATTGTTTGTAATGCCATAAACAGCAAAATTCAGTATAACTTACATAACGGTATAGATTGTGTGTACGTGTGAGATGGGAGTACAGAAAAAAAACAAGTTTGGAGAAGGCAGAACACGGGTAAAGGTTGGTGGTGTTAGGAACATGCTAGGATTATACTACCTCTGCAGGCTGTAAGATCACTGTATCCGTGGAAATCTTCATGAAGGACGCCTCGTTGGGTCTTCATAATGGAAGAAGTAGGATTAGGAAAAATGACTAACGTGAAATTTGTTTAGCATCACACACAGAACAATGCTCACTGCCAGAGGAGGTTAGCGCTATCTAAAAGTATTTCTGAGAAGACCCCAAGGTGAAGCGTCCTTCAGCTCTGCTCTGAGGGGGGCTACACGTAGGACAGGAAGTTACCTATAGGCTCAGGACAGTCCTCCTTAGGGGCTTCAACAAGGGTGTGTTTCCTCTAGGGATGCGCCCTGAGGTCCTCAGAGTGGGACGTGAGGAGAGGGGCTGTACTGGGAATGACAGGGCAAAGTGACAGGAAGGCCTGAGGGCGAAGGCCGGGAAGTGGGTCCTCTACCAGGAAGAGGTCAAGGGTATGGAGGAGAAGCCCTTGGGTAGCAGGAAGAGTAGGCGTGATAGGGGGCTTGGTGCTGAAGCTGGTTCGTGATGACTAGAGAGGCATTAGAGGGTTTGGGGCTGAGGCCTGTTCATGATGGCTGGGGAGGCATGGAGGGCTGTGGGGAGGAATAGAGGGGTTGGGGCTGAAGCCCAGTCGTGATGGCTGAGGAGGCATGGAGGGCTCAGAGGAGGCTTGGAGGGCTGTGGGCAGGCGTGGAGGGCTCCGGGGAGGCATGGAAGGCTCTGGAGAGACACGAAGGGCTCTGGGGCCTGCTCCCTCCCTCCGCCGACAGAGGGAGTTCGAGGATGGAGGGACGGCTTTCCAGACTTGAAAAGTGTCTGCACGGTCCCTCCACCAGCACGGCGTAGCCTATGGCCTACAGGAGCCAGGAGGAGGCCCGGAGCGAGTGACAACCGCCCGCGCACCTCGGGCGCCGGCTCCGCGCCTGACGCGCGCAATTCTCGCGAGAGCCTCGGTCGCCATTTTTCCATTGATTGCCGCGGGCCGGGGGAGGGGCGGACGGCGACGGCGGCGGCGTCGGCGGTGGCGGCGGCGCCCTGGGTCGGTGTCTGCGCTGGTGTCTGAGTCCGGAGCCGAGGCCTCCGCGGTGGCCGGCGGGGAGGATGACTGCCGCTGCGGTGCTCTCCTGAGGCGCGGAGCCGCCGCCACCCTCCAGCCTTCCTCCCCGAGGCGGGGCGGAGAGGAGCGGCCGGAGTCGGAGCGATGGTGCCCGGCGAGGAGAACCAACTGGTCCCGAAAGAGGTGAGGGGCCGGCGCGGCTGCCTAGGCCCGAGGCCTGTGGGCCCCACGGAGTAGCGCAGGCCTCGGGGCCGGGCCGCGGGGCGAGAGCAGACGTGCGGCCGGGTGGGCGGTGGGCGCGGCGGGCAGTTGGAGACGGCTGGGTCCCGGGGGACCCGGAGACCGGGGACTCGTGCAGGGAGGGCCGGGCACAGCCGGGGCTGCCCGCCGACTGCCCGGGTCCTGCGCTGCGGGGTCGGGGCCAGAAAGTGGCCTTCGAAGTCCAGACTTCGCACGTCGGAGCCCAGAGTTAGCGATCATTTAAAAGAAAACATTGTGAAACAGTTGTTGCCCAGGGCACGACGGGGTGACGGCGCTGCTTCTGGCTTTTGACAGTGTAGAGGGCTCGTGAACGCGACACCCAAGTTGAGCTCTTGGAAGGCCGACTTCACTGTTAAAGACTTTTTTTTTTTCCACGCACCTCCCGCCCCCAACAACTCCTGTTACTTCGTAGTACTACTGTTGGGCTGCCTAAATGGGGCCTACTTCAGGATCGTTGAAAAAGTAGTAAGTTTAACTTGGACGGAAAGGTAGGAGATAGCTGAGCTGGTATCACCATATGGAGAGATGAGCCGTTCTTCCTATTATTACTTTGTTCGTTCGACTGTGTGTGCCAGTTTGGGTGACTTCTTAAATTCTTAAAAGGGAGTGGACTGTTCTTGGCTTCCCTTCAGCAGTAGTAGAAGAGTAAAGGTAGAATCCAGCACCGGCCAGTGGATTTCAACATATTAATAGTATCTCTGTAGGCTTTATAAATATCTCCAGCATATTCAAACATGTATTTTTAACTGATGATAGACTTCAGGCTTTGGGTTTTTATTTCTCATATATCCTAAATAGACGCAAGTGTTAGGGTGAAATTAGCTAGGTAAGATCTTGATGTCTATGGTGGATCATTACAAAATCTTACGTCTTTTAGGCTTTAAAAAAATTTTTGCAGCAGTTTGTTGCTACACTAACAAACTTGGGCAAAATGCAAAAGTGACTTTCTTAGTGTTTTCTGCCAGTTATGTAAAAAAAATTTTCCAACTTTAATCAGATGGACAGTAAGAGGTGCTTTGCAAGTTTTTTTTTTTTTTTTAAGGCAGGCTTACATGTCAGTATTTATCAAGCATCACCAACTCTGTGCAAAGCAAATAAACAGATGAATTAATCAGAGATCTCGTCTTGAGAGCTGTCTAAGCTACTAAGAAGTGGGTGGGGATAAGAACTCCTGGCTCTCCAATCAGGACCTTGTACTTTGTACTCTAACCCTTATGCAATGAAGGAAGTGATAGGTGCTAAGAGAAAGGTAATTTCCTTTTAGAGCTGGTTTTCATTCTTGCAAAAGTCAAGGTTAATCCTTAAAATTTTAACTGTTAGAAAAATATCATATAGGTGGAACTCTGCTGTAAGAAGACCTACCGTGCTGTTACTAATTTGATAAAAGAAGTCTACACACAAACACACACACACACACACACACACACACACACACACACACATGCAGGCTTTTGAACTAATACGTTTTTTTGAACTAATACATTTCCCTCTGGTTCTTCATACCACCTAGGCATTACTTATTTCTCCTTCTTTCCCCCTGTATGATGCTTCCTCCCCAGTACCCTCGTTTTCCCCATTTTTTCCCTTTAAACTGATTGCCAAAAACACACACACACACAGGTTCCATTACACACACACACACACACACACACACACACCCTACTTTGCAGGAACATATCTGTTGTGTAAAAACAGACATTGCAATACTTGTTTGGCCTTAGGATAGTTTAAAAGAGCCCTTATCTGAGGCTTCAAGCTCGACATAACTTTTATTTTCTGGATTTTTGCCTTGTTTTCTGTTCCTTAGTCTCATGTTCAGTCTTTTTCCACTGGGTTCCTGATTCCTGGGAGCATGCACAGTACTCTGCTTTGGGTGTGTGTGTAGGGGTGCATACCTTCTTTTTCAGCCAGCCAGCTAATGTTTTCATGTTTGAGGGTCATACTCGTTCTTTGAGTGATTGCTTCTGGTTTACTAGAAATGTATTTCAGAAGGAAACCAGCATCTCTAAGTGGCCCAAACACACTGGCCTTTTTTCCTTTGCTTCTTTCCCTTGATTTTCTGTAGCATTTGATCCCTTAAACACAACAACCATTTCTTGATTTTACTAGTGCTGCACATCCTATCTGCCCGTTCTTTACTGAAAACTTTTCTCCTTTTTTGTTCTTAATGATCACTTTTCTTTGTTATTCGGATTGTAGTCCATCAGAGTGCTAAATCTTAGGGAAGCACTCTGATCAACTGGTGAGAATTAGGGCTCTCAGATCGGAAATGTGCCTCCAAGATGGGTCTTTGCTACTGTTCCTTAACTAAGCTCTGTAGACCCCTCCACATTACCTTGGGGCTCTGAGAATAGTTTATAACTAAGTACCTATACTAGGGGAAAAGAAAATGCAGAATTAAATAAATTCCTCATCTGTTCCAGTGGGTTATTTTTAATAATCCTAGAGGTTTTGGAAGCTCTGACCCTTAGGTGTGGATTTTCACTAGGTTTGTGAGTTCATATAGTTGAACGAGTTATAGATTATTTTGGTCCCCGAAACCCCGAGACAAATGTCCTTTTGAGAGCTGCCGAAGAAGGCAGCTTAGTGGACAGGAGGGGACAGACCCAGCTCTTAGCTGTTTTGTATGACTCATGAGTTATGGATGATCTTTATATTTCAGATTGTTGAAGAGGAAAAGTCGAAAGAATGTTAGTTTTCTGTGATACGTGGACATAGATGGAGTGTGGAAATTTCATTATTAGAACAGTTTCCTGTGGCTGCATAGCACTGTTGAGTGGTTGCTGTATAGGCTGTGCACAGAGTAAATGAAACTATGCAGCTTAGTATTCAAAGCTCAGTACAGTTGGTTCTGGCCACAGTCTGCCCTTCCCGGGCTTATCTCTTTTCCCATGAAAGCAAGTTTTTAATGTAGCCAAACAGGTTTCTCTGACTTGCTTTATACTTCTGTTTGCACTGCCCCCTCTTTTCCTACTTCCCAATGTTCAAAACCTTCATACACCCTTTCCTATAAACCTTCATGTCTCATTTATTCCAGAAAACCTTTTCTGACCATTTTAAACCTTGGAAATTTCTCCTTAGAAGACCTCTGCATGTGAGCAGGGTTTCTTTAGCAGCTAATAAATAGTGCTTTGGAATACCTATTAAGGTCTTGGACTAATACACATTTTACACATTATTCATTGGGAATTCCTTGACAGCAGAGATGGTGAGCTTCTCCCTTTTGTTTTTGTACATGTTACAAGTCTAGAGGAGTGTATTCCCTTGAGTATAGATTCAGTAAATATTCCTAGATATGGTTATAAGGATGTAAGGAGGCTCAGAATTCTAACTGGCTATATCTGCTTGGAGGTTTTCCACAGCATAATTGGCAAGCACATCTTTTTCTTCGGTGAGATCTGTTATTTTAAGTTTTTGTATTTAGAGAAATCTAGATCTCTGTAGTGTCTCCTTTTTATAGCTGTGTCTGGTCAACTTTTCCATAGGAGAGCTTTTCTCATGGTTGATGATGAAGGGGGAGGGGAGGAAGGGCGCTCACCCCTCTGCTTTGCAGTGTGCAGTCGTCTGTTCAGTTGCCTCTTGCTCGCTCTCTTTTGGACATTAACATTTTTATTAAATTGTACCCCCAAAAGAGCATAGGGTGGTGTGTTTGTTGAGGAGAACAGAGCTTTTTGCGTTCCTGTTTTACCCTGCCATATGTCTTTGGATTGTGGGATATTGATACTGACTTTGAGATTACTTACTTTAATATCTCCAGAGGGTTTTTTTGCCTCTGCCTCCCAAGTGCTGGGACTAAAGGCCCGCTTATATCTCCAGTTTTAATTATTGCTTGGTGATTGCTTTATCCTATTTCTTTACAAGTATGTGGAACATATCACTTATTGAGTACTCACTGTATATATTACTCTGACATGTAAGGAAAAGTTAGAATAGGCAAAAATCATCCTCAAATATCTTATAGTATAAAGTATTTGTTTACTGATGTTCTAACAATAATATTTTCACAACATGAGATATAAATATGGGAAAAGTTCAGGAAAAAAAAAAAAGGAAAAGACATAAGTAAAAGTGTAAATTCCACAGCTCAGTGGGGTTTTATGTCTTTTCCATGCTGTAACTACTTCTTACATTGGGAACTGGTTTTTGACATCTAATGATGATAGTACTAACCAGTGTTTATTGAGCATTTATTTATATGCCAGATGCTGATGTGTCAACTCATTTAAGGACAAGAACTTCTAACTACACAAAGGAGACTGAGACTCACCTACAACAGCAGCTTGCTTCTCATCTCTGTTTGGTTTCTTGTGGAAATCTTTTCATCGTTATCTACTATAGGACATACCAAATGAATATTTAAATTTTATTTCTCCTGATTTAATTACTTGGAATTACAACAGTGATCATTCTTGGTTTTGGTGATTATTCCTTTGCCAGTAAGAGGCTTATCTGATAATACCTGTCAGTGTCAGTACCTTAAATTGGAATATTAAATAAAAGTGTGTGTTTCAAGAAAATGATCATTTAGTAAAGGAAAAAAGACTGAATGCAGAATTCTATGTGATTCCGATTCTGTTAAGAAAAACAGTGAAGGGGGCTGGAGACATGGCTCAGCGGTTAAGAGGCTGCTCTTGCAGAGGACCTGGGTTCGATTCCCAGCATCCACATGGCAGCTAACAAGTGTCTGTAGCTCCAGTTCCAGGGAATCCACCTTCCTCTTCTGACTCTGCAGGCATTGCACGACACGGGTACACATGCAGGCAAAATACACCGATACCCATAAAATTAAAGTAATAAAAATATTTTAAAAAAAGAAAACCAGTGAAAATTTAGGTCTATTCAGTGAACAATTGGAAGGAATACACTTGAGTATTAGTAGCGGGTATTTCTGCCAGTCTAGATTATTGGACTGTTTGATTTTA